TGTTTGGACACATAACAAAACTACCTCACAGGAGCTGGGGGGATAGCACAGCTGGTAGGGCGTTTGCCTTGCAAGCGGCCGACCCGGGTTCGATTCCCAGCATATGGTCCCCCGAGCACCACCAGGAGTAATTTCTAAGTGCATGAGCCAGGAGTAACCCAGTAACCCCTGTGCATCCCCAGGGTTGCAAAAAGAAAAAAAAAAAAAAAACTACCTCACAATGGCAAGTCTGCCCCTTCAGTGAGGATGCCCTCATCCCTGCCTGCGGGCAGTGTATCAAGGGCTGGTTTTTAGTAGATGTATTCTAAAGATGGAGGAAGGTAAAGCGGAGAAGCAGTCAGGGGTGGTGCCGGCGAAACCCAGTATGTATCTGTGTGACTGTTACATTCTATTCCACTAGCTTTCACCTATTGAAACCTTTCACCACCCCACCCCCTCCCCCCAAGGTTCGAGCGATAAGGACAGCAGGGAGTGCTGGGATCGGAATCCCCAGCCACCAGATATGGTCCCCATTCCTGGGCTGGAGTAATCACGAAGCACAGAGGCAGGTGTGAGCACTGCTGGGCGGGCGTGCCCCACCATCACCTGCCCAGGTGGGGGTGGGGGCGGGAGCCAAGCACTTTTCACCTTTCACCCCAAATATCTTTTTCAAGATTTTACCCTTACCTTAATTAACCACTACGGATTATATCTGAAATAGAATTTACAAACAAAAACCTTTCAGAATGGAGCACAATAAGCATTTTGAAGGATTTTTTTGGTAAGGGTCAGAGTTACATGAAGGGCATGTAACTCAGTGTAGCCTGCTAGGCTTCCCATGTGGTAAGCCATGGTCTGGACCCCTCCCCCCTCTTAAGAGAGTTACTAAAGCAGTTGAAAGTTTACTTGTGTCAATATATTTGCTTACAGCAAAAATCTTTCACCATTCCGAAAGCACTGATTAATTCAACTTTCTGTTTCAAAGCAAATATTCACTTCCTGAGTAAGTCATAATGTTTAAATAAATATGCAGCAAATTTAATGAAACTGAAATTTTACAAAATATTAAAAAGCAACTGAACATACAATTTAGGACCAAAAAATTTAGGACCAAAATAAGTTCAAGTTTCTTCAATAAATCCTGGTCAAAACAGCAAGTCTGGGGCCGGAATGATCAATAGTACAGTGGGTAGGGCGTTTACCTGCACCTGGCCCATGAGGGTTCAATCCCCTGCATCCCATATGGTCCCTGAGCACGGCCAGGAGTAATTCCTGAATACAGAGCCTGGAGGAACCCCTGAGCATCGCTGGGTGTGACCCAAAAAGAAAAAAAAAATAAAGAAAAACAGCAAGTCTGACTTAAGTACACTTATTGACACATTTACTTTCTAGTGGCATCCTAGATGGGAAAGATTTTGGTTCGTAAGGTGGATTTTTAAAATTCAGAAAGGAGCCCCAAATCACACAAATTGAAAGTGCTTTATAATCTAAAAATAGAACAAAATGTTCACTGGAATGTTAGAGTAACCAATGACTATTCAAATCACTAAAAACAAAGTTACAACTGCAGCATCCTTCTTGACCTATTTCAGCCAGTCCTCAGAGATTCCTTATCAATTTCAGGGGGGTTGGGGGGGGGGGAGTTAAAGCTTGCACACTATTGGAACCTATCTTCAGCCAAAGCTGCCTTTGGCATTCATTTTACAGCCCTGGATGCAGTAACTTCCACACACCACAAGAAAATGTTCGAAGAATTCACCTGTGAAGGAAAATAAAAAAATAGGACTGCCTCTTTTTTAAACGTCAGTGGCACCATGTAGATGGGGGCACTGGAGGGTATGAATCATGCAGGCTGCCTTCCTGTTCAAAACCAAAGGCTCCTGGCACCAAGAACGTGACTCAAATGGCAGAACACATGCAGACATGAACGAGACCCCGAGTTTGATCCCGTGAGCTCCATGGCTCCATGGTCTCCCAAGCACCTCCTGGAATGGCCCTTATTTAAAAAAAAAAAAAAAGGGCAGGAAGAAAAACTCAGTCCTCAACTTTCAAAGTTCCAACTTACCACTCTCCGTGAACAATACTCTTATGTTACTCTTATACAAAAAGAAGATGATTTCTGGGTGGGGAGAAACAGCTCAACGGGTTGGACATATGTTTTATAGTCAGGAAACCCTGTCCCACCCCGTACCCTGTGGTCCCCAGGCAGCGCCAAATGCAACTTTTCCAGGCAGTGTTGCCCCAAAAATCAAAGAGAAGACTTCTGAAATATGAAACATTACAAAAGTATACTCAGCAGTTTACAGAACAACTTGTAAAACAGATTCGAACTCTTGTTAGATTAATGTCACACAAAGCAGAAAATGGAAAATGATAAAAATTAATTTAAGAAGAGAATGATAAGACTTTTCTTTCTAGGCAGGCTTCCCGACATTACGGTGCTTGTCTCCAGAGCATACACGAGAAATCAGCGGTCTCTGATTCTAGGTTTCTCTTCCCAGTTCACAATCAACAATAACTGGAATACTGGAAGAGGCTCGTGAAAACTGCCAGTATCTTCATTAAATAGAACAGATACTATATGCAAGTTTAATATAAATTCCATATAATTTCATCAGTATATTCCCTCTTTTTATTCAATTAGTCCTTTATTTAAAAAACTAAGACTTCACATGGTTTGTGAATAAGACCAATGACAAGTCATTCCAAAACACTTCATTCAACTTTTTCTTTTTCTAAAAAAAAAAAAAATGAAATAATAAGGGGAATTTTTTTTTTACAATGCCCTTAAAATGCCCTGGAGCCACCAGGGCCAAACCCTGAGGGGCAAGTCTTGCCAAGGATGAATGGATAGGACACAGGATCTCTGATCTACCATTTCAATGAACTCCCTGACTTTTTTTTTTAATCAAATTCAGCACATGAAGCAAATTGAACACAAACCCACATAGTCTAAGAGAAAAATGCTGTGGTTATTTCATTAAAAAACAAATAGTGGGGGCTGGAGAGATACTACAGAGGGTAGGGCACTTTTCCTTGCACCCAGCTGACTGGGGTTGGATCCCTGCTATCCCATATGGTTCCCCCCACACCCCAGGAGCAAGCTCCTAACACAGAAGCCCTGAGCACCACTAGGTGTAGCCCAAACCTCCCCTCATCCCCTTCACTCCTAACCCCCGCCTCCCTCCAACAGCTGGGCTGAAAGAGGGCTCAATGGACTGAGCGCAAGGGATGCATGCAGAAGGCAAGGATTTAATGCAGAAGACAGGAATTTAATCCCTGCCATCGCCATCCTATGCACCCTGACCACCAGAGGCTGCAACCCCCAAGTTGGGAATAGGTCCTTATCACCTCCAGGTGTGGCCAAAAGAAAAAAAAAACTGAGTTGCATTAATAAAACTTTCACACTGCGCTTCATCGTGATTCAATAAAGTTAAAAAGTAAAAATAAAGATTTCACAGAAAGCTACCGAGCTTTCTACTTTACACTTTTAGATGAAATCCATAACCTGGAAACTTGCCTTAACAAACCCTCCTCTGAATCCTTCAATCCACACTCACATAAGAGTTGCTGAAACTAATACCAGCAATAGTCAAATCAGGTGCCACTTTTATAAGCAAGAGTCAAAGTAACACTTTAAAAAAAAAAAAAAGCCAAAACCAAAAGGTGTTCTTAAATTCCCTTGTAAGGGAAAAGTTCCTGAGTTTTTCATTATTTCCTTTTTCGTATTACTTGTATTCTTACTGCTAAGGGGAATGAAAAATCAAATCAACAGTGATAAGGATGAGAACAATTACAATGTAGGCCTGGCTTAGGATCAACAAAGAAACACACACACACACTGTTTAGAGGAAGCTTGCAAGAAATGTCACTAACGGAAGTTTCAATATCCACCACCACCAACAACACCACCCCTTTTTTTTTTAAGGCCGACTAAAGACAGTCCTGCAAATAAATGCACTATGAAACATAACCTAGCTAAACTCCATTCCCCAAAACAAATCAAGAGTTTCCCAGGATGCCCGGAACGGAAAGAGCTGCTCAGACCTCGGGTCCCCCTGGGGACTAACGCCTCTGGCCTGGGAGGGCAGCCACCCCAAGTGAATCAGATTGCCACCGCATCAGTTTCGGTGACAGATTCCCGGGGAGCATCCCACAGCGATCCGGGGCCCTCCCGGGCAGCAAGGCTGCGGGAAGAGGAACACCAATGCAATCTTCAGAACCCTCCTACTTCCGCTCTCGGAAGAAATACCCTCTCTTTCTCCCAGTCCTCAGCCCTCGGTCCAAGAGCGCCCGACAGCCGCGTCCCCCGCCACTTCCAAAGCGCCCAAGCGCACGGGAAGGCGGCGCGTCTCGGACCCGTGGGGGCCCGCCGGCAGCAAAGCCCACCCAGTCCCGGAGCACACCGGCCGCCAGCGCCTTCCCGAGAGTCCCGCTGGCAGAGGACCCGCAAAAGCTGCACACGTCCACGTCCCAGATCGCCCCCCCGCCCCCGCCCCACACTCCTTCCTCCCACCCACTCCGGGGCTGGGAGGGTGCTGCGGGGAGGAAAAGCGCAAAGAGGAACTAAGTGAACTGCTCGCGGGTGCATCGCCTTTTGCAAGCTCCTCTCCAAGGGGAGGTGGGGTGGGGGTGGAAGGAAGGAGCGGAAGGAAGGGGAAAGGATGAGCAGCCAGAGGAAGGGGGACGTGCACGCGCGTCCACGCAAAGGGCGACCAGCCTTCGGAGACGCGGGGCACCCCCGGTTCCTGGCCGCGGGTGCGCCTGGCCTCCGGGGCGCTCCGCCCCGGGCAGAGGGCGAGAAAAGGGGGTGAGGAGGAGGCGACCTCCGCTCCCCGGCCGGCCTCGCCCCTCCTGGAAGGGGCGATCGGGGAGCCGGCCGGGCTCCGGCCGGGCTCGGGGCGACGGCAACGGCCGCTCGCGCTGTCGGGGGCCTTCCGACGGCTCCGGCTTTCGCGCCCCCCACACCGCCCGGCCCGGGCGAGGCCGGCGCGACGGCCGGGCGGCCGTGCCGCGGTTACCTGAAACGGGGCGAGTCCCTCAGACACTCCTCGAAATCCACCGTCATCTTCATCCTCGCCTCCGCCGGGCCTCGCCGGCGGCGCAGGGGGAGGCGCGGGAGCCGCGGCGGGAGCGGCGGCGCTGGGCACCCGGACGGCTAGGGCGGACGCGCGATCGCCGCTCAGCGCTGCGCGGGGCTTCGGAGGGCGCCGCGGCCGCTGCTGCTCATAGCAGCCGCAAGGACAGCGGCGGCGGCCACGACGGCTTCTCAGGCCCCAAAGTCCGGCCCCTCTTCCTCCCGCCCGCAGCAGAGCGCCGGCCCCAGGGAAACGGCCCGGGAGTGACAGCAGCCGCCAGCCAGCCACGAACCCGGGGGCCGGGGGCGGGGCTTCCGGAAGCCCCGCCCGCGGGCGCCCGGGCAACGCGCCTGAGCGAAGGCGGCCGGAGCCAATGAGCTGTGCGACCGTGGGTGCCTGCTCGCCCCCGGCGTCCCCAAGGGCCAACCGGAGCACGCAGGCGTCGTTAGGCGGGAGCGCCGGTTGCTGGGAGGCCTGCAGCAGAGGCTCCTTGGGAAGGAAGTCACGTGGCCGCGCGCCGCTCTTCCCTGCGCGCTCGCCGCCCTCCCTCGCTCCTGCCGCTCCAGCCCTGCCCTGCTGCGCTGCCGCCGCCCGGGAGCCGCCGCCTGCAGGTCCGGGGAAGGAGAGCTGCTTCTTGAGGCAGCCTGGGCAAAGGCTGAAGGAGATGGGAGCAGAAATGATGAAAGGGGAAGAGCGGCGAGCCCCCCACCGCTTCGTTTCAGTGCAGAGCAGCTGAGGCCGGAGGGTCGCTTCCATCTTTCAGTTGTTGACTTCACTCAGTATTTTTGGAAGTATATAGATTCCCACATACTCGGTCTTCTATACCCGCAGACTCTGTAGACTGGCTTTAGGGGGTACAGCATTTATTATGCCGAGAAAAATCAAAGCTACGAAAGACACTCTTCCTTACTGTACACTTTTTGCCAGTTTCAGGGTAGGCTTCCAAGACAGAGGCTCACTTGTAACTCCAGCCCTCTGGTGCATAATTTTTCTAGGCACCCTGCAAGATATTGATCTTATCCTCAATAATCCTAGAAGGCAGTTATTTCGCCGACTTCTGATCCTAAGATGTCATTGATTGTAAAAAAAAAAAAAAAGTAGGACAGATAAATGATATTTGAATATATGCTTCTTTGAGGGAGTGGGGGCATAACCAGCACTTACTCCTGGCTCTGCACTCAGGGATAGCACCTGCGGGGCTCAGGGGACCATATGGGCTTCTCCGAGGATGGACCTTGGTCAGCGGTGTAAAAAGCGAGCAAAAGTGCTTTGATGAATGCACCTTCTGTACTATATATCTCCACCCACGAATATATGCATTTTACCCAACCTAAAAAAACAGGTGCATTCATCAAAGCACACAGGGTAGGTGTTCTAACATCATAGCCGCTCTAAGGGAGAGACCTGAAAGCAAAAGTCCTGGGTTTACTTTCTCACTTTCTCACTGTACAACTGATTCTGAGAGAATCGCTGAAGCTGAAAAAGACAAAAAACCTCTAAAGGCCCTTCACTCAGTGCCATATAGTAAATGTTGGCTTTTATCCTAATTGGATCGCCTGTCTTCTCCAGTATGGTACCCAAAGGTCAAGTGTAAGCATCCTCATTCACTCTGCCCAAAGTTTTACATAAACCTTAGACCATCTGGTTAAGTATAGCATGACTGCATGTTTTCCATAACCTATGGTTATATCTTGATCTCTTTGACATTTTTCAAAACTAACAGTAAAATTGTGAGACATTACAAAGAACATATATGTGATACATGTTATTTCTTTAGTATTAAACTTGGTTTCTTTTTTTTTTAATGATACTTGTTTTTTCTTGGGTATTTATCTTGTTTTCTTTTTTAAAATTGAACTATATATCCCTTTAATCTACCCTATTTCTCTTGATAATTAGCAACTATTGACAATTAAACATTCATCACTCTAAATGTCAGACATTTTGGTTAGTGAAGTCAGCTCTTCCAGCTTTGTAACTTCATTGTCCAATTTAGAGAGTTGGTCATCCCTACATCATTTAAAAAGCATTCCTGATGCATGCCAATTAATAATTTCTTGTTTCAATACTTTGTCACCGTATAGCCCTTTGGAAGATACCCAATGTACTACTTTGGGCTACAAATTAAAATTCAGCTGTATGACCCTCAGTACAATAACTTAGCTGAGCTGATATTCAAATGAATATCTTCTTGTAGATGACTGAATTTAACATTCAGTGATAAGCCTACCACAATTTTTCTTCTAGTTTGATAAAGCAAGCATTTTGGGGTGACAAATGTGTGCTGTGACCTAAATTCAGAAATATTAAAAGTGAGGTTGGATGCATGAGAGCAGTGAAGAAATACAATATTACTATTATCCCATAATAATGGAAAGCACATTCCCAAGATATAAAAATAGCTTGACAGATGACTCAAACCAAACACAGGCCACGTGACCCCAGACTCTAACTGCACAGTGACCATCTCCTCTTTCGAACTCAGCAGTTGCCACTGTGCCTTAGGTTGCCTGTGAAGTCTTTCCCTCTAGCCTCTTTAAAATGCTGCTCAATGCCACCTCTTGCAGGAAGCGTACTCTATTTTTTGGTTTATTTGAGGTTTGGGAACCACAACTGGCAATGCTTAGAAGTTATTCCTCGCTCCATACGCAGAGGTCCCTCCTGCTGGTGTGGGGCTAGAGATTTGAACTCAGGCCCCTGCATGTAAAGCAGGAGCTCCAGTCTGTTTGAACTCACTCGCTCTCTCTCCCTCTCTTCCTTTTACCCTCTCTCCCTCTCTTCCTTCCACCCTCTCTCCCTCCCTTTCTCCCTCACTCCCTTTCTCTCCCTCTCTCCCTTTTTCTCTCTCTCCCTCTCCCTTTCTGCCTCTCCCTCTCTTTCTCTCTTCCTTTCTCTCTCCCTTTCTCCCCTTCTCTCCCTCCCCCTCTTTCTCTCTCTCCCTCTGTCTCTCTGTCTCTCTGTCTCTCTGTCTCCCTGTCTCTGTCCTCTGTCTGTCTGTCTGTCTGTCTGTCTCTCTCTCTCTCTCTCTCTCTCTCTCTCTCTGCAGAAACACAGAATATATATTAAAAAAAGAAAAGAAAACAGAATATAGACCTCTGTTTTCGGCATCCTGAGAGTAACTTACCAGGCTGAGCCTATGATCCAAAACGGTATAAACGATCAAATCTTAAATCCCTCAAATTTCTTCTCCCAGACCCCCCCCCCCCAGTTTCTTCCTCCAAGCCCTCTGAGCCCTTGCAAATCCACCGCCCTTCCCAAAGTGCTTGTCACTTCCTCTGTGACTCCTTCTCCCTGTTCCCCTCCTAGCAGAGGCTTTTAGTACCCACACCCCGTCCTCTTGGGCCAGGATCCTTAGTCAGCAAGAGCCTAACTCCGGAGAGCAATTTACATTTTACATTCCACCTTCATACAAGAATTTGTATTGTTTGAGCCTAATGTCATCTAGTTCTTCCAGTTTTGCTTTCCTTGTTGCTGCTGAATTTCTAGTATCTCCCTGCCTTCTTCAGGCAATTACATTGTAAATGATCTCAAGAGGATGAAATTACTTGTCCTTTTTTTTTTTTAATCCTTTTCTTTCCTTCTTCCTCTTTTGGTTTTGGGGCCACACCTGTTGGTGAGCAGGTCTACTCTGGGCTCTGGTCACTCTTGATGGTGCTCAGGAGGCCAGGTAGTTCTGGGGATCAAACCTGGGCTTCCCACATGCAAATACACTCAGCATTTGAGCAATCTCTCTGGCCAGCACTTGGTGTTTTGGCGAAGGGAAGCTTAGGTCCTCTTGTATCTCTGAGAAGTGGTGAGAGTGTCCTTCTCTTTCTTTTTACTTCCCCAATCCTGCCGAGTTTCCTCAAAAAAACAAAACAAACAAAACAAAACAAAACAAAACAAAATGATGTGGGGGCAGTTCTCTGTGTGCTGTGTGATTTTTTTTTTTTTTGGTGCTGCACCCAGCAGGACTCATAGGCTATTTTGGGTGGTAGTTGGGAGACAAGGGGTCTTAGGGATCAAACACAGCCCTCCCGCACACAAAGCGTGCACTCAGCCCATTGAACTATCTCTCTGACCCTTAACTTTTGGTTTTTGTAGGGCCTACACCCAGACTGGGCAAAGTGGGAGCATGCAGTGCTGGGGATCACAGTTAAGGCCTTGTTCATGCTAAAGCAGCCTTGTGCCACTTGTACTCTCTCCACGGCTTTCTCCCTTATGTGCCCGGTTGGCGTGTAGTCCTCCCTGATGCTCCACATGTGTTTTCAGATAGCCACAAGGTGCTGAAGAGATGATAGAATGGAGAAGCTAGTTGGATGGTAGCAGTACAGAGCAAGGGAAGGAAAGATCTGTGCCCCGTATATTGCTGAGCTCTAGTGCATGTTTACCATATTAAACTATGAGATTCAGGGGGACACGGTGTGTGTATATGGGTGGGGTGAGAGGGGGGTGTCATATCCAGTGGTGCTCCTGAGCTCCTGGAGTTATGGTGCTGGGGGATGCTTGGATGAAACCTGGGCCTTCATCTGGCAAGGTGCACACGTCAACCCTTCGAGCTATTCTCCTGGCCCCTCGGACAATTTTACAACAGAAACCAAATAGCCAGATTTGAACTTAAAATCTCCTAGTTGCAAACTTTGGCAACCTTTTCAAAATATTAGAAAATATTGGGAGAGAGGAATCAATCGGCAGGAGCATGAGCACGTGGGAACCCCAGATTTTATCCTCAGGACCCCGTGGTCCCCCAAGCACTGCCAGAAACAATGGCCCAGCTGGCAGCAGCCTCTGAGCACCCATCAGTGCAGCCCCCAAACCAAAAAAATCAATTTCAGAGACTCTATGTGCATTTCTTGATATTCCTTGAGTTTGGTTATGTTATTTTTGATCTGGGCACCAAACCCATCAATGTTCAAGGGTTACCCCTAGCTCTGTGCACAGGGAACCACGGGTAGTGCTGGGGATGGAAACAGGATCTGCTGCATGCAGAGCAAGTGCTTTACTTTCTACGTGATCTCTCTGGCCCTCTTGACAATACTTTCTTTTTCTTTCTTTCTAAATTTAGAGTTTGAGGGCCATCCCCAGTAGTGCTCGGGGACTACTTCCTTCTTAGTTATTGATGCTGCACCTAGGGGATCACTCCTGGCAGTGCTTGGAGTACTCTATATGGTGCTGGGGATTGAACCAAAATGTACATGACAAGCAGCTTGGCCCTGAACTGTCCCCTCTAGCCACCCCTCTCTCGACAGTTCTTGATGCAGCCTTTCAACCTGTGT